CTAATGCTTTTACTGTCTTACAAACGTCACTTACAATACATAAAAAACCTATTTACAATACTTGGCATTACCTTACTTACTTACAATACGCAATAATTGTTCCTGTAATTACTTATTATGACTATCATGACTTACACCCGACGGATTAATGTGGACGGTACTCACGGTAGGCCTAACCGTACAAATATATTTGTGTAAGATTGTGTGATGGAGCCAAAGTGCGTCTGCTCAGAAAATGTCTGTTTGTCTGCATCGTTTTCTTGCTGACGAAAGAGGACAGAGACCCTTTGTAATTTTTTTGGCGCTAAGATGGCCGAGCGGGATGATGGGAATTGGACCGGAACGCACGTGCTCCCTGGGGACGAATTGTGATCATATGTGGTGTAACTGGATGCAACATACTTGCGAAGTGCCGTTCCACGTGTGCACTAGAGGCGCTAGCGTCTTGGAATTTACCTGGAGGAAAATATATACTTGTTGTTTTCAGTTGAAGTGTTGAAGCTCTGGTCGAAAGCAAAATGCAGGGTAGCTCACCATCGTCATGGTCTGGAAGTCGGACAGGAGAGGATAGAACGGCCAGCTTCGACAACAACAGCAGGTGACATGAGCTTAGCTTACATGTAAACAGACAACCTGAAATGCCACTCGAACTCTTTGATCTAAAAAGCTCCTTGTCAACCCTTTTCGAAGCTATATTATCCGAACTCGCCGTGATTCAGTGCAAATAGTCCGGATTCATTCGATAGCTCAAAAGAAGGAACATTTATATGAGTTTTGTTGAATCTCACAAGTATCACTCCTTGTTGCTCGTCACTAGTTGAAGCTGTATGAGCTAAATAAGATAATTGTCTTTACATTTCACTGCTTGGGATTATGGTGTGTTTTTTAATGCAGTAAGATACATACCATGCAGGTTTAATATCTAAAGGTCGTAAGCTTAATACCAAAATTGTTTGGTCACCGGCTGCCTATAATCCCCAGGGTAGTGAGGTCGATATTGAATCGATAACATTGAAAATATAGATTATCATTCCATCCATTTCTTCTTGCTTTTCATTAGCTGAGAGCCCACCACGTGACCTGACCCTGAGCTGTCATAGCCCATGTTTTTACGAGAGATGTTTACCTTGGTTTTGTTTTAACTTTACTGAAGTGAAATTTTTATTTGTGTAAACACAGTGGCAAACCTCGGTAAATGGCGGCAAAATCGAAAGTAAGCCAACCTAGGTTTGTTGACAGTTGAATGCCTCATTAGGCATGGTTTAGCTCAGTAAGCGACGGTAACCGAGGAAAAGC